CATGGCTTGGAGCAGAAATCAAAGTGTATCAGTGTGTGAGTATGTGTATGATAAACTCCATGTCTACTTGCATTTGTACAATGTGAATTACATGTGCATCTTGGGAAGCTGGCATTAGTATAACATCAAAACGGCAAATAAGTGTCAAAGTCGGTAAATTCCAAAGGTTTGGGTTTCTACCTCATTCCCCCTTTCTTTACTGCACAGCCAGAATCTTTTATAATATACCACAGTTTTGGAAACAAAAAAAAAAGTTATACAATCGTGTTAAATTTAAACAAAGAAATAAGACTAGAAAATGTGATATATATTGTAGTGTGGCAATGTGAATGTTTTGGCAGAACTCTTAGCTTTTGGAATGTCTGAGAGTGTAAAGCTATGGGAAGTGTAGATTTTTTTTTTTAAGCTAATTGTTCTATTTTAACTGTGAAAGAAAACGCTGAAAAATGGCCAATGTAATATCTTAATTTCTAGCATGTTAGTGACCTGCTTTCCTGGGAGAATCCTTGGGAGGCACCTCAGTAGTGCTGAACACCAGGAGAGCCACAGAGTAAACCCAGTTTGAAATGGGTCATCCTGAACTGGAGGGGATCATGTCTCCTTTTTTGTAAGGAATCTGACTTTACTGACTTGGCACTTATGTGAGATCTTACTTACAAAGGCATCCCCAAGAAATGGTTCCTACATAGCATTAGAATAAAGGCTTTGGGTAAATGCAAATGCTGTGGTGCAAGAGAAAAAATACTGACTTTTAAGACCCACATTCTTGCAATATCTTCTATTTTTTGGGGAGTAGGCAGGATTACTACTATGCCTAATGAAGTATGGGCATAACATTGTTGGCAGAGGTGTGTGTATGTATAAAAAAAATCATATCTAAAAAGTTTGAGGGTAGGGTTAAAAAATCTGTGTATATTTTCATAATGCTAATTAATATAGAGTTAATTTTCTTCAGATATAGGGTTTCATCATGTGCAAGGTTGAGTGCCTCTGCAGGAGCCAAAGGCACAGCTATTAAGTTCCTGGGCATTTGTCTTTTAATCCACATGAGAAGTATATATATCTTTCTGTTATATATTTGATATATATTATGTTACGATATGTTGTGTTATATGTCTGATAGATGTTAATATTGATGCTCTTTATGAATGCTATTGAATTATGCAAGTGCTAATATTTTAAATTGAAACTTAGGTGAAATATATTTTTTCATACATACCTGAAAAAATGCAGCTTAACCTTTTTGGGAGGTAGTGTTAACTTTTTGGAAGGTAGTAAGGTTTGTGTGTATTTGAAGAGGGAAATTGGAACAGAATGAGGACTTCATTTCAGCTTCATTACTTCATTCACTGCTGGTGAATGCAATGTGCTTTTGCAATATGTCACAAACTTTCAATATTTTGCAAATTATTCAACTTATTTACAGTAACAGTTCTGCTGGTTATATTCTCATAATACTGTGTTTGAACTTCCTGTGACTCTAGTGACGTTTGTAGGAGAGGCTGTGTACCAAAAGCTGTTGGTAAATTGTCTGCTGAAATTATCCCAGACGTGTAGTGAAGACAAAAGCAAATCAAGTATAATGATCCTCTCATACAAGTTTGCTGAAATCAATTTCACCCTAAATATAAAGAAAGATTTGCAAATATAAGACTGCTTTGACATTTTCTTATAAGTGTTTTTCCTTAAATACATTTTTCACAGTGGCTTTGCCTCCAGAGAAGACAGATGGAGTTTGCAGTGGAGATGAAAAGAAAGCAGAAAAAGAAAGTGACACACGCACAGGTTCCAAGAAGCAACTGAAATTTGAAGTAAGTCCTCTATATTTTAAAGTTGCACTGTACTGACATAATTATGGTAGAAAAATAACCTGTGGACCAAATAGTGTCCTCTGATGAATGTATATAGCTCCCAACGATTGTAATGGGTACAGGAGGAAGCAGAATTCGCACAAGTCAGTGTCTTACTATTGGTGCTCCTTTTGAGGTGATTAGTGAGATTTATTTCCAGGTTTGGAGAGGATCAAATGATGATCATTCCTCTGTAGGATCTGAAATGTATAGTAAGAAGAGACGTTCAGTTTAACCCTTTATCTGTGATCCTTTTGTTAGTAATTTATTATGCTAGCTACTGTGTTATCAAATCTCTAGATTGACTTTCATGCACTACTGCACTTGGTTAAATCTGCCTAGTGTAAAAGATGTTTGTGAAAGGTTCCTTAACCATCGGTCTTCTGTGCCTGGGCCTCCAAAGTGAAATAACCCTGACTTGCTACATGGGAAATCCATCTGATCACATGGCAGGAGGAAAACGATCCTGGAGGGCAAGGAGTCTGATGGTCTGTTTCCTTGTACACTTACAAACATCATAAAACTGCCAGACATTGTGTGTAGTTGGCAGGTTTTGATTATATAGGGAGTGTCATCCAGTTAGAGGGCTGTCTGTCTTGGTGAGGAGGGAGATACTCTGGTACCGGCAAGAAACAGCACGAATTTTCATCTCTCTACACTCTAGCAGACGTGGCAAACTTCTACCTTTCAGTGCTGTCAGCCTGTCACAGTAATGAGCTTTGCATTCCTCAATTGTTATTTAAAAAACCATGCAGCCACCTTGCAGCATGGCTCGAGTGTTCGTTTCCTTCTCTAGAGCAGATTTAGTAGTCTGGTATGATTTATTTTTTACTGTTTTAAGATTGATTAAAAGGAGGTAGCTTTCCCATAGGCAGATCAGGTGTTGCTAGGTGCTTGTGTGCCTTCTGGGGGGAGGTGACTTTTCCTGCCTCTTTTTGCACAGCGATAACTCTTTTTCTAGGCACATTTTATATTCTGCCTTGAGTAGCAGACATTTGCAGACAGGAAAGGCATGATAAATTGCAATTAACACTGCCTTGATACTTGAACGTTGGAGGACACCTGTCAACATGGTTGGTGCCAGAGTAGCTGGAACTCCACCGTAGCGGCAAAGTCTGTATTTGTTCCCAAGTAGTTCTTGGCGTGTCATAAAGGTTAGCACTTGCCTAACGCAGGGAAAGTTGCCATGGCTCTTAACTAAGCAGAGCACATCCTCACCTAAAGATGTTATGTTAGGCAATGGTGTGGGACAGGGAAGTATTAATATGTGGCAAGAAACCAAGTATTGATATTTTTTCCCTTGTTTGACAAATGAAAGTTTTCCAGCTATGTAAGCTAGGAGCTAAGAGATTGGTAAATATTTCAAAGGTATAAAAGAATCAGAAACGCAAGTGTTGAGGCAAGAGGTCTAAATCTGAGGTGGATGTGATTTGGCTTTTAAAGGTGCTGGGAATGTTTATGTAATATGAAACTGTGTTTCCACAGTAGAGTGTGGGGCACTTGGCGCTTTCAGCCAGGCTTGTTACGACTGAGAGAAGACTGCCTTTGAACTCAGCAGGGGACAGGGGGTACTGGTAACTGCTGTAGGGAATTGGTTTCAAGTCAGATCAACCAGGTATTTTGAGCTCTATCATGCTGAAGCTATTTGGAGCTGTTTATTTTACTTGCATACAGTGGCTTTCATTTTAATTGCACTGTAACTTTTCTGTTTTGCCTTGTTGTGGCTCTGGATAATTCCGATTGCGCAGGTCTTGAGAGAAAGCAAACGATTTCCACCCAGGTGACTGGAGTCAGCAAAGTGCATTCTTTGTTCTTGACTGAAGTCTTGGTTTTGGTTTGGGGATTTTTTTTCCCCTTTAACAAATTGATTCTTTCAGGCTTTCCACAGATTGCACTCACTAACAGAAGCATAGTTAAAATAAGGACCAGGCACTACTCCCAGGTCGTTCTTACCTGCCAGTTCCTAGGCAGGCTCCATTTCAGGAGCTTCAGTGGCATGATGCTGTACTGCACTAACTTCGAGAACCTTTGGGTATCAAATATCCGTGTCAAGGACAGGTCTCACTGGTGGGGATTTGTGCCATATGTCCACTTTGTATTAATGACTACTCCTGGCACTGTGGTGTACCGCCTTATTCTGTGGGTCTGTTTCTGTTATCTTTCTCTTCCTGAGTTAAGCAGAGTTTTCCTTCTCACTTTTAAGTAGGAAATCTTATTATATTTCAAGAGCTTCAGGGAGTAGTTTTCTTGTACCTTTTTGTGTTTTCTACGATGAAGTAGAAAGCATCTTGCAGATTCCCCGAAGTCTAGCCCAAGGGAGTTAGGATTATCATGTGATTGTGATGAGACTCCTTCATTGTGGTGGACAGAGGCCTCCCTGGGACATATCCTGAAAGCTTCCTCCCGCGAGGGAGGGAGGAAGGAAGAAAGCAAGCAGCCTCCTCCTACGGCGAGTCTCCTCTGCAAACAGGCCTTTTGCTTTAGGTAATCAGCTGCTCTTTGCATGTTTCTTAGGAATTGCAATGTGATGTGTCTGTAGAGGAAGATAACAGGCAAGAATGGACCTTCACACTGTATGACTTTGATAACAACGGAAGAGTCACACGTGAGGTAAGCAAAGTACAGCTGCCCCTTTGTGTGCAGCGTTTGCTAACGAGAGAAGTGTTTTATAACAGGAACATTTTTTCTTCTATGAAATAGAGGTGTCCTGCCAATTTAAACAGCAGTTTCCATAGACCCTTCCCTCCTAGAAACAATCCCACCAGTAGTTTACTGTTTTCAGATGTACTGTACCGCTTTTTAAGCTGGTTGTTGTTTAATATCTGGGATTAGCCTTTAAAAAATAGGACTGGCATTTGAGGAGGAAAAATATCTGAAACAACTGAACAACTAAACACATTGTCAAAATAAACCCCTGCAAATGTATATTGTTCTGGCTTCTATCCTGCTTTTCAGAGTTAAGCTAACCAAATAGCAAGGTTGCTTTCTGACATTCTTTCCAGTAGGACTAACTATACTGTTCTGTTGTTTTCATGAATATTAGGCTGATCTCTGCCTTCTCCCTCCAAGTATAAATAACATTGATACTTGCTGGAGGACTGTAGTGGCTGGCTGTCAAAGCATATCTGTGTGTATTTTTTATTATCAGATGTCTTCAAGTCGTATTTCCTATGCAAATAAGAAGCCAAATAAGAGGATGTATAGATTAGAATACAGTCCTTTTTAAGAACTATTTCTATCTAAATTGAATGATACTTCTTCTAGAAGAATGTCTTTTACTGAGATTTACTGCAATGTGCTGTCATTGATTTTTTTGTGAGATATGTTTACTGGCTCCCATGCCCTCAGATAATCGGCTGAAAATTGACAGGTTTTGTCTCATTTGGCTCTTATTCTGGTGTCTGTGAAAATTACTAAGAACTGATTGAAAGGAATAGGGTAAATACTGAAAGTGTAGTGGCCTTAGACATCAAATGAAGGCAGAAATTCTTCCTAGAAGACTGAAGCAAATCTTTTTTTACATTTATGAACAGAGTTTTTAACATGTATATGAACATCACTACTAGGCTTTTTTTATTGTCTCTACTCTGATAGTGCTTTGAATAGTCAAATGAAATCTGTGCCCTCATGCAAGAGAATAAGCAGATGAAACGTTACAGGCCAAGTCCAGAGTTTCAAATGGGAAGAGGAGATGTATAGAGAGGGCAAGGAGAAGAGGGGGTGGGGAAGTAGTATTGTATTTGTTAATGTATGGGGAACAGAGACAAGAAAAATGAAATAACTTGCCTGAAGTCTCACAAGAACCTCGTGGCAGATTGAACCCAGATCTTTCGAGACCCAAGGCTAAGTCTTCATTACAAGATTATCGTGACTCTCAAAGGATAGGGGAAAAACACAAAACCCAAACCCACACACACGGGTGTCCTTTACATTCAGGCATGGAATTCCCATTAATGTCAGTGGGAGTTCCATGTGCTGAACGTAACGAGAATATGCTTTTAAGTATGTATACAATAATTATTTGTGATTATGTGGTACACCAAAGAGCTTAATTTGACTGTACTTAGAGAATATGTTACAGCCAAATTCTACCTCTCCCTGCTACAAGAGCAGACTGCAGCTTAACTGAAACCAAATCTGTGCAGGGATTGAAAATTACACTACTCTGAGGTCTGGAGGTTGCTATATTCAGGCTTGAACCTGTGCCAAAAAAAATTCTTTTAACCAAGGGACCAAATAGGTTGATAATTTCCAGCTCTTTACATGTGACCAAAGATAGAAACAAATACTATGCACCATTGCAGACTTTCCCAGTTATGTTACACACTTCTTTTGCAAGATGTTCCAGTGCCATTTGTATAATCCATCTTGTTGGTTGTCTTCTGTTGAATCCAGATGCAATTTTAGAGTTGTTTGCGCAAGAATGACTAACGATAGCAGCTCATAGATAATCTTGGCCACAAAAGAGGAATTTCAGTCTCTTCATATAACGTAGAATTTCTTATCTATTAGCCCCTGAGAGACTGGCAGTCAACATAATGGGCTTGATACTGTCGTTTGTTAAGCAGCTCTGCTCCTGATCCAGCAAAGGACTTAACGATGGCAAACGTTAAACGTGAATAGTTTCAATTAAAATGAATGGAACACATGCTTTGAGTTAAAAGTATGTGAAGCATATTGCTGGATCAGAGACAGAACAGACAGTCTGAGGAAGAGGGCTGGCTGGTCTGTACCAGTGCCATTTAATGAACTGATGGAAATGCTTTCAGAACTGGTCAGCTTTTCTACACAAAGGTCCAGTGTTCTGGTGAGAAAAGGTTAGTGTGGACCTTTTCTCCTTCTTTGAAAATTTCACTTTAATGTCTCCTGGATTTATAGCCAGATTTAACAGAGGGATGAAATTTCTCAAGTCAGATTTCTATCTGTAGACCTTGAGGTGCTTTTAGAAAAGAAGTCAGCCTTATCATTCTTGTTTTTCATGTTGGAAAAGTGAGATACTGGAAAAGGAAGTGACTTGCCCACCCACATCCATTTCATTTGATTCAAAGTCATTGTGTTTAAAACATTGGACTTCATGTCCAGAGAGTTTCCAAAGGAATACGCAGTGTTAAATTAAGTTTGTAAGAAACATGTAGGTGGTGCAATTTTACAAGTGGACTAAATGTTTTTTTCATTAAAATGTTTGAAAATTGTAAATAAGATACGGATTTAGTTACTGGATAAAATTTCCCTTGGGTTTTACACAATGACAGATCACCGTAAGAGCATTCAAATTCCATTTTAGTGACATTTCTTCTGGATCTTAACAACATCTTCAGAACTTAATACTGCTTTGATTTCCTCCTAGAGTCTGTATGGCTTATTCTGTAGTCCTTATAATTAGAAATTCAGATCTAGTCATGCTTCTTGAAGAGATACACCCATTATGAAAACATAATTATTGGGATGGCAAATTATAAAATTAGCATTACTGTATGTTATTAAACTACTGCTTTTTCTGTCATAGAAGACGACCATTTTTCAGTCCTTTTGGTGTAGTGGGAGATAACTTTTCCTGCTCTAATATGTATATTACAAAACTTGGCTAATAATGTTTTCCTTCATTCCATAAGCCGTAAGAGGACAATTCATTATGTACTGCAGGCCTTTTCAGAACTGACAGCTGCACTGTAATTATCTTCACATGGATATTTGTAATCGGACTTGAAACTTGGATAATTGAACTAATGTGTTTTGATCCATGAGGTTTTATACTGAGCTCTCTGAATGTAATTATACTTCATAAACACTAGCCCTTTTTTTTTTTTTCCCCCCAATCAGTTCTTTCTTGGAAAATTGAGTTTCTTTGGTGAGTGACTGCACAGGAGCACACAAGAAAGTTGTTGTCAGGAGTAAAAAAAGGGAATTTCTTCTAGACTAGTTGTTGAGTAGATAGCAAGTGAAGTTTCTTTCAGGTTCCAAATAAGAATGATTCAAAAATGTATGTGATCAAACAAAGCTGATGTTGCAATAAAAACATCCTGCTGTATGTAAAAATCAAACTACAAACAAAGTACAAATGTCTCATTTGTACTCTTCTTTTTTTGAGGAAAAGGTAATGAACTGATATTGATGTTTCTCTTCATGCATTTTTATGCTAAAAATGTTCTTTGTCTTCCAATTTTTCCTCTTATGTTTTTTTTCTTTTTTTTTTCTTTCTCTTTTTCGTTACTTTTGCTTGTATCCTCTGTAATGAGTGAAAAGGTTTGAAGTTATTTCTGCATTCAGAACTCAGCACGAAATCTTTGACTTGGGGAAGGATATTGGCTTTTCTGGGGCTACTGTTTATCAGCCTGACCCTTATGTTGCAATTTGCTGGTTTTCACTGTGTTTGTCAACGTTGTATTAACTCATGATATAGAAGCAGCAATGGAACCAACAGATAGAGGAGTAGTGCCTGTCCGTATCAGAGGGGCCATCATTTCAGCCATTAGATTTGGTGGATTTGTGCCAGAGAGAAATATTAAGAGAAAATAGGGCTTTCTCTTTCGGTTTTGAGGGGAGCCAAAGACATGTCTCCCAGACAAGTTACAAAGAATCGAATGTTTTCTTTCAGTGTTGCTAAACTCAGTGGCGTTTGGGGGTTGTTTTTGTTAGGTTTTTTTGTTTGGTTGGTTTTGGGGTTGTTTTTGTGCAAATGTCTCATTCTGTTAAATTAATTCCACTGGAAAAGCCTCTTAGTTCCCTTTACAGAATCTCTAGTTTGCTAACTAGTCCTGTGATGATAAGATATGCTAATACTGGAAAGATAGGGTTGTCCCTGTACCACTAATGTTCCTTAGAAGTAAAAAATTAATACCTGGAATAGGGAGTTTCTCAGTCACATGAGTTCTGTAAGGAATGAAGAATACTTCAATGTAATTTGCTCTTGTTCTTATTTGCAGACCCATTAGTTTCTCTGAATGTTCTAAATTCCTGCTAATCTCCTACTGGAGATCTGTAGAGTATTCTGTGGATACATGTGTGAGTGCAGCGTACGTGTGTGGCCTTAACTGTTTGCTTTTTAGTATTTCTAACGCAAGTATTTCTGGCAATCTATTAAAGTTTCTCTTTTTAATATACTTTGTTGTATTAGCTGCTTGATAAAATAGGATGTGAAAAACATACAGATTAACACTGTTAAATCCTTCAGCCCTGGAAAAACTAACTGTAGTGTTCAATAAGCAAGACACAAATAAATTCGGGTATGGCATGTGCTGGCTGTTTGGATACTACCCAGCAAGCATTTGTTTTCCTCTTTGAGGTAAAATATCATTGTTTCAGTTTTCTTACTTGAGTAAACTAGCTATCCCACCAGAAATTCTGCACACTAGAAGCCCTTCAGAAGTTAGTTAGATTCATGCAGCCTACTTCCCCTCTAAGTATAATCCATTTGCTATAAAGAAGAGAAATTTATTTTTTTTTAATTTCTTATTTCTCTTTACCCATTTAATATACTAATTTAAAAATCCACAATGATTTTTAATTAGAAATGGTTTAAAAGTACATTCCAGTAAAAAAAACAAGCAAATGATATTTTTGGAAAAATGGGAAACACTGAAAAATCTGTTCTTGTTTATTTTTCGTGTAAAAAGGGAGGACATTTGAGAAATGTGGGATGAAACTTTTTGTGTGGGAAGTGCCAAGCAGTATTAAGCAAAGCAGTTGCAAAATCATGTGACTAGTAAAAATTGTAATCCGTTGTGCAGAAGAGGTAGATTCTTTGGTAGATGGTCTCTGAGGCATGCTGGTTGGTGTACCAGAAGACAGGAAAATTTAACTAGCTTTTATTCTTGATCTTTGATGCTAAATTTCTTGAGGACAGTGAAATGCACAAGCTGGTGTGTAGAAGGTAAAGCTGTCTCAATGGTTTTAGGCAGTTCTTTAAGGAATTTAAATGCAGATAATGTTCAGTGGGGCAGCTTTCAAGGGGAACATAAATTGCCTCAGTCTCCTGGCAGGCTACTGGAAGATGAAAATTCTTTTGGGGGTAAATATAGACATAACTATAAAATACAAATTTTGTAACATATATTTTAATGGTCTAGTGCAACTAATTTTACAAGAAGCCATTACCATATTAGCTGCCAAAAAAGGCCTGTGAGAAGGTAGTTTTAGTCACCATTCAAAAGTCATTGACGAAGACCATTCCTACCTGATCAGCGCCTCAGGAATTTGTATGTTATAATTGTGAAGCAGTAACTGGAAAGCAACAGGAGGTTCAGGCTGCCTTGTAGCCGGTACATACTCAGCCAGGACCTTGGTAGATGACAGAGAAGCGAATGACCGAAGCAGACTTGTTTGACCGAATCAGAACTGTCAGTTTGCTAGAATTTCCAACCCCAAATTAGGACCACAAGTAAATGAATACTATAATAAAAATGTTGTCGGTATTTAAAAGATCAGCATAAGCATTAAGCGGTTACTTATGGATATCCCTAACCTCGATCTTGGTATATATCCAGTCTGATGACCACGTTCATTCAGTGCCAGAATGCAAAGCAGTTCAGATTGTCGTGGAGGAAGCTGGGTATTAAACACATAACGAAATGCACGGGCAGCAGAACGTAAGGCCACAAAGTGTCCTGATACCTCTGTGCAGCCCCTTAAACTGCTTGGAGCATGGACATTAATTTGGGTTAATTTGGACCTGTTGACTGAGAGATGTAAATTGTCCTGATGTGATATGCACGTGTACATATTTCTGAATTGCCAAGTATGTGTCACACAAATGCTGCATCTGGCCTTCCTTGACAGCATTTGGGAGTACTTTTTAAACTGCTGAATCAAGTGGCTTGTTGAGAAAGACCCTCGCAGAACACGGGGCAGATTGTATGCCAGTGAGCAAGTTAGACCTCATCACTGGAAAAAAAAAACATGTAAAAGGACAGTGGGAGTAAAGACTTTTTGTCTTTGCCTACCAAAGTTAAAATAGACTAGATGATGAGCTTGTACAAACATCTGGTGTAGCTGAAAAAAGGAAGGAGGATAGATTAGTGTGAATGAAAGAGTTGATAATAACCTCTTAATAGTAGCCTTGTGTGGAAAGATGCCATGTTGGCTAACCAACACTTGTTAAGGAATGTATGGGAAAGACTCCATTCACCAAAGTGCTGAGTGTATGAAGCCCTGTTAAGAATAAATATGGTGCTTAAGTATTCTGCTGAAGGGGAAGGTTTGGCTTGTTGAGGTGTAGGGTTATAGCACAAGGCTCCTAGAACATAATTTATGGAGGGTGTATAAAACAATGGATATGTTTTGTTTGTCTGTCTGTGTTCTTGCTTGGTTGGGTTTTTCTCATAGATGAAATAAAATTCCAGCCCTTCAAGCTTGGCTGTTAGATATGGCTGTGTCTATTTAGAGGTCTGGCTAGGTTTCAAATTAGGGTGGAAATGTGAGAAGTGAGATGTGTTAAAGAGCTGAGGTGTCCACCAGATTGTCATTGAGCAGTCTTTCCCTCATTCAAGTTTTAGGCAGTGGTCCTTGTCAAGAGGATGGAAAGCAGCTACTGACATGGTAGTAACAGCCCATATATAGAGACTCTTGCAGCAATGGTAGAAAAAATATGTCAGTGGGGAAATAAAAGAGAGACTGCAAACTCTGCTCTCTTTTTATGAATATGTTGTCTTGAACTCACAAGTCTGGAGAAATTCCACTGAGTGCAGAAAAGTTAGAGAAGGCACATGTTAAGACAAAGCCTTGGACCCTCTAGGATTTAGTTATTTGTTCTGCCTATTGAGATGGAAAGTTACCTACTGTAAAATCATTTGTCCTGGCCATAAGGTCAGTGTGTGAGTAGAAATTAGTATTTCTGTGTCACCTTTAAAGCTGGTTAGATAATGAGGACTGTGTGGTATATTGACTGCTAAAGTGCTGGGACCCATTAAAGCCTACTAAACTTCCAGCTGCCATTGTTACAGGCATGACCCCTGGGCAAAGGAAAAATTGTAGAGCTTTTGAATTTTATAGACCTGACTCTTAATCCTCAGAACCAGTTGTACTTAGCGAAGAATGATTTAGATATTTCCTTTGTGCTCGCAGGCATCTGGAAAGAGCTTAGGTACTAGGATAGATCAAGGAATAGGAAGACCAACATGGAGAAATTCTCAGATATACATTGAATGGGATCTTTATAGCCTGCAATGATCAGTATGCTTTAGCCTTAGGTTGGTCCCCAAGATCAATTTTGGTGAAATCCCTTCGGGGAAAAGCAGCGAGCCAAGAGATCTCCTTTTCATCGTGGCAATTAAAGGTAGTACCTTATTTGAGCCTGGCTGGATTAGATCAACCTGAGAGACCTTTGAGCATCACCAGCTACTAAACAGTGTTTCTCCTGTTTGAAAGAATTGGCTTATTAAAATTGGCTAGTGTTCTTTCTGATATAGCTAGACATGTAAGCATTTGTTCATGTCCCATTGCCTTCAAAGAGATGTGTGAAGAATGTTCTGTAATAGGCCTGACTGGATAATCTCTGCTGTTCAAAAATGTAAGTTTAGAACTGGTTTGAATTTTGCAAAATAAGGTAGACCCCAATATGCATATGGTAGAGCGACATTCAGACATCACTTCTTTCCAAACCTGAGGTTTACAGTTCTGCCACTTCTTTTACTGGTTTTCCTCTATATAATCAACCCTTTAACTATCCCCCCAAAAAAACCCAAGAAGTAGTAAGACTGTAATGTCCAAGGTTTTCTTCAATTGCTGTATTTGTTTTGGTCATGTGAACTCAGTTTTTAGTGCAGTATGAATGGTTATCCCTGGGTTCTGTTGAAACCAAAGAAAAGAAAAGGCAGAACACAATTTTGCTGATTCACAGGTTGGGAAACCTGAATGCCTTGTGCTTTATTATTGTTTTGATCTGGTTTGCCGCATTTCATAAATCTTACACCATTTGATGAAGAAGAATATGGATCTACTTGAATCATTCTCTTTTGTGTCTGTGAGCTATATTACAGTCTATATTAGAAAAAGTGGGGGTTAACCAAAGAGAGAAATTGATCCTTTCTTGTAAGGTTCTGTGCAAGTTCAGCTCTTTCAAATTCAGTGACTTCTGAGGGTATTTCAGCATTTAATAGTCCCAAGTCGGAAATAGTTGTAAGTATCAAAGCTGTAGGTTTCGTACCATTCTCACAATAGTGTGTCTTTTTGTGTTTCAACCCAACTGTAGGATATTACCAGCTTGCTTCATACCATCTATGAGGTAGTTGATGCATCAGTAAACCATTCTCCTAGTTCCAGCAAAACTCTGCGAGTGAAACTTACTGTGGCACCAGATGGCAGCCAGAAGAAAAAGAGTATCTTGTTAAATCATGCTGGTAAGGATGTGCAATCAGCCATTGGAAAAAATACGAAAAACTTCAAGAATCCTTTAAAAATCCATCTTTGTATTTTGTTAACACAAATAAATATGTACTTAGAGGCAAATAATTATGTGGGTATTTTAAACCCCATTAACCTGTTTTAAGATCTTGGGTGCAAAATTGTCTACTCTCCTTTCAGTGTCTCAAGCAAATTAGGGTTCCCTCTCCTGATTGATTGTTTCTTCTTGGCAGCAGCAATAACCCATATGTTGTGTAATTGTCTTTGAGTACTGCAAGGCAGATTTAAGGTCTTTTCAACTTGTACCACTTTAACTCTGCTGATATTATAGCACTCAGTTTGTGTGGAAACAGGTGTAGTGGTGTAAAATGTTTTTTGCAAGCGCACAGCTATCACTGCTGCTGGATAAGAATAAACAATTAAGCATAAGTAACTTTTATGAATCTATGCATAAAAATTGCACGTTTTTCTGTACTGGCAGAGTCTGCCATTATAAAATAGCTTACACTCTGATGGCTTATTCATCTTATTCACTCTAATAATAGTTGTATCAGCATAATTACTTCAGTAGATAAAGTAGTACTAAATTAAATACTTAAAACTATTTAAAGTAATACTTCAGTAGAAAATGTGGGCACCTTATCCAAAAGGAGAGCCTCGTTACCTTAGTTTTAATACATACATCCACTCAGTCAAGTGCAGACATAAGCAAATTTGCACTGCTGGGGAGCTATGTGATGCATTAGTACATCACCGAGCCCCAAACTACCGAGCCCTCCTGAGGGACAAGTGTATCAGCGTGAATGTGGCTTCATTTAACTTGCCACATGGCTTGCAGCCTAACTCTGACTAATGTCCTACAGTCAAGGTTATGTCTGCCTAAAATCTGTCTTGTGGACAAAAGCAGCTTTGAGAAGGTTACATGAAATGATACGTTACATCTTGATCTACCGACAAGAAAAAATGTATTTGCAATGTAGCATATTAGTTATGCTGATCAGCAAGGACGGTAATGTGAGAATAATGTATTTTCTCTTGTTGGCAGATTTGCAGAGTGCCAGGCATAGAAATGAAAGCAAAGCTAATGAAGAAGTAAGAAGCTCTGAGAAGAAGCAGCGGGCTTCTCTCAGGTAAGAGGACAGAACCCTGTCTCCTGACAGGCACTGGGTACCTCTGAGAAAAGCTCAACCACTGATTTCTTGCTTGCTTCCTTGCTTTATTTTAAAAAAAATATGTTAAAACAGAGGAGTTATAGGATTTTTCACTGTGGAACCATCAGCAGATTTCATGGGTGGATACTTTGTACATTAAAGCAAAAAAACAAAAAAACAAATCTGTAGCACCCATTACTCAAATTTGCTTCTGTTGGCTCTTTGGAGGACATGCAGTGTCTTTTTAGATGCCATCTGCAAATACTGTACCTACTGGTGGAGTTTATAGCACAGCCTTTTGGCTAAAAGTGTCCTAAAACCTTTTAATCTTCATAGGAGGCCAGCTCCTGCCTTTCTCTGTCCTCCTTCCAGCCCATCTTTTTCACTGGTCAACTCAGTTAGCTCCAAGTTATATTAACTTGATCTTGTTTACCAGGTCATAGCCAGACCTGCTTCTCCTTACCACTGTTCCTCCTAAGCGAAGCAGCTTTGAGCTGGCACTGGGTACAGTACCTAGCAGAAGGAGGGAAGAAGGGAGCTCGCAGCAGAGCAGCAGACAATCAGCTTCACAGCAAGTGGTCTACATTGGCTATGTCCCGCAGAGTAAGCGACAAGCAAGAACTTCCAGCACACTGCCTGAGCCATGCTCCATTCTGTTGAGGTAGTTCTGGCTTATAGCAACTGTGGGGTGACTCAACTCTACTTACAAAGTGTGTTTGTACATTTGGTAGGAGAAGTAAATTCACCTCTTTCTTACCTCACAGTGACTTAACAGAGGCTATCTCTGCTGACACCCACCTGCCAGAAACCATGCTTCCCCGCTGCCACATCAGCTTTAGGTCAACTTCTCCTTTACAGAATTAGTTATTAAGTAGTACCCGTGTAGGAATTAGCCTGCTTGCTTAGAACCAGTATATTTAATGTAATCTTGCAGGAAAATTTGGATAATTCAATTTATCTTTTTTTTTTTCATAAGTTTCAGGATACATTTCACCACTTTGAAAAAATACCTGTCTGTAGTCTTTCAGTGGAATCCAACCTGTGTGACTCGGAGTGCATCCATTTCCAATACAGCACAAACACAGTGGTTTCTTTTATGAAGAGCTGCAGGTATACTTGCAGCCATCTACAGATTAGATAAGAAAAGGTTTTTAGTTCTTCCCTAACAGAATGTAGAATATTATTTTGGATGCTAGTCCAGAACAGGCCTTTTTCCTCTGAAAATGTGTCATCATGTGTATCTACCCTGTTATCATGAGTTCTACCTACCTGATAGATACTACCTGCACTGAACTTCAGAGTATGTGATAATCATTTGCAATGTATTTTTCAAGTATTAAATTTTTTTACAGCTAAGAAAAATGCTAATCTCTCGGTCACATGTAGGTGTACTATTCCTTTTCTGAATTTGGTATTTTAATGGATAGAAAAACAAATCAAAAGCAGGTAATTTTGATGCATTTTAATGTAGATTAGTTGCTCCAAACAGGTCATCTTGGTGTATAGGTTTGATTTGTTTTATGATTTTATGTTTCATGCTAAGGCAGAGGGAAGCGTTTGCTGAAATGCTACAGTAAGAACATTGACTCATTAGTTGCATTTGTTTCTTCAGCTGCAAATTTAAAAAAAATAAAAATCCATTTTTGGCTTTCCTTGGATTTAGGGATACATGTCCAAATACATGTATTTAGTTTAACAAATTTATCAGGAGAAGGAGCATTCAGTTTTATTAAAAATGACAACAAAACTGTGCCTCCCTTTTTTGGATAGAGTAAAAATGCTAGTGAGTTATCCCAGTGAGTGAATCCCAGTACAATCAAATTTCAGATTAAAAAAAGACTTAAAATGACTTAATTTTCTGTTAGCAACTCCTTACAAAATCTTTTGTGAACTAAAGAACACTCTGTTGTTTTGCTTGCTGGCCTAGATGTGGTCAGATTCCTTCTGCCCATTAGCAAAGGTTTGCCCTGTGTAAATTTAATGGACTGCTTTTGTTTGATAATCTATTGCAAAAGTCCCCTTTCAGTTTGAAGCCCCCCTCCCAACCACCTTAAAGTCCTGGTTTTGCAAATGTAGTGGTTTTATGAACAGCAGCCATTTCCACTGAAATCCACAGTCATAGAGGCATCAAATGTTGGGGTAGAATCTTGGCTCTGCTGCGTTTGTCCTTCTCATCCTTTTTGTTAGAGGCTTCCTAGATAGGACAAACCTGTATCTTGAGCTGAGCAGATCAGTATCAGACAACTGTCAGCATGTAACAGTTTTTGTTGCATCTTATTAAATACGGACAGGACAAATAATGTCCTGTTCACACTGTGTATGTTGCAGGGCTGTTTGTGCACTCTGACCAAATTGCTAACCCTCTGCAAAGCTTCCTGAGGCTCATCAGTATCTCACAATATTAACGCAGAGGTTTCCCCTTTGAAAGCAGCAATGAGGACTTGTGAGAAGTGCACACATTTCACAAATTCAGTCACTTAGGAATTCTAGGCAAGATGTGATTAATATTCAACATAAAATGGATAGAAATGTTTTTATCCCGAAGGTGGGAGATAGATGGATTAGATTTTTCATCTGATGGAAGCTACAGGCAGGAGTTTTCACCTGTAGGGCTAATACAAGTATCAAGATCAAGTAACTAGATTCATAGCTAGCTTGCCTGGCATGTGTGGTACAAAATGGATGGTGGAAGAGCACTGGCAGGCAACTTTGTGGATTGGGTATCTTCATGCCATTCTAGTTTATATTTAATTTAGTGCAACAGGGAAAATATGATGCACACCAGCCTCTAAAACATCTTCCTTTTACCCACAGATACACATTCTCACTCTCTCTTTCTTTCCTGATTAAGTGATTTCTCCCTGACTGGCTTAAACTCTACATTATTAGTGAGCATTGCTTTCAAGAAATGTCCTTGCATTTTTCCTGCTCTATTCCCTTTACCTACTATATTGCTGTGTGGTTATTACCATCAGGATGACACTCCAGCATGGGAATTTTAGAAAGGGCTTTCATACACTCCACAAACCCTTAAGCAGATGCCTTTTTTAATTAAAAACAAAACCAAACCAAAAAACAGTAACAACACTGTATATTTTTACACCCTGTGCTTGATGCATGGTTGATGCATGCCTGTGTCTTCCCATGTGTATGCAGGAGAGCATTGTGGGGCTGGATGCCAGACGCTTCAGTTCTCTCTGACAGTGGAGCACATCTCTCATCAGTATATAATTGCTTCACTGTGTATATTTACATGAATATTGTTGAACATCATCTTGCATGTAAGAAAGCTATTAGAATGCAGGGCTGTGGCAGTACTGGCGTAGTTTTTCTTCACTGTCTTGATGAGAGATGGAGTTTATTAGAGTAACAAAAAACAGGTTCCCTGTTAACTTAGGTTTCAACACGCAGTGCTGTATACAGTGTTGCTTAATTGTGTTGGATCAAACCCAATGATCCAATGATTTTTTCTGGGTTAACTATGCATTGTCTTCAGCACATGTGTGCAAGTCCCAATGGTTTCCGTAGGCAATTCATGCCCGGCAACTTAGTTAGCCAGGTTCTAGCCCCAGAGATCTTTTATGTTGACCTGCTAAAGTGTAACAACCTGTAAAGGTGCGTCTGAGGCAGGAAAGGTACTGAGTTGGCTACGTATCCAAAAAAAAAAAGAATATCTGGACATTCCCTCTTTTTTGACAGTACCCCATGTCACTTCGGGAGTTCAAAGTTGACTCGGAATCTTTAAAGCTTACCTGCTTTCCAGGCAGACTCTCCTCCATTCAGGAGACTCTACCTCTATCAAAGTAGAGCAAAAATGATCTTCCAGGTAGGTCAAGTCTTGCGACTTTTATCAGAGAAACTGTAGACTTATGTCTGACAGAGACACGGGGAACTCGGTTCTGTAATGTCCCTGAACAGTACTACCCTAAACCAGGAAAGCAGTTCGTGCCAAAGCTCAGTGGGATCAGCAGCCTCTGGAAACCTGGAAGTAGACTAAAAGTGGGGTACTGGGCACCATACAGTACAGAGCGCATATTTAGCAACTGTTGTAGGGTACAAGGCCAAATTCTGGTCTTAGGTTGACACCAGTGCAATTGCACAGAGAAAGAGCAAAGCCTATCCTGTGGTCTTGGAGACTGAACTATCTGAATGACAGGCAGTGACTTAATCAACAATCAATCCTGTTTGTTATATTGAAAATATTGTTGATAACTGCAGACATCCATTTAAATTGCTAAATTAAATTGTTCAGCATTATGGGCTACAATACTGTAAACCTCTGCCTGATTTTTTTCTGCCTCATAAATGAATGGTATTTCAGATATTCATTCTCAGGAAATAGTTCTGCTATAAATAGAATTGCAAAGCTGAGCAGGAAAAGAAATCGAGATTCTGAAGCCAGTGACTGATCTTACCTTATTAATTGTATTTTGGAAAGCAGCGGTTATCTCTGGGTGTCCTACCAACACCTTCTCTTCTCAGGCTCTTTCTAGTTACTACACCTGTGCTGTTGCCTGTCTTTCTGAAGCAGATACACATGAATGTTTATCTGACACGAGGCTTACCCCAGTGCTTCCTGACAGTGGTGGGAACAGTCATGAATCAAACAGCAGGTTTTCTTTGGCATGTCCAAACTGGAGAATCAGTTGAATGGTTTGGCCCTAAGACAGAATGTAATAAACCTTAGGAGCATTTTTATTTGTTTTTGCATGTGTGATGCAATTTGAAAGCCTCCTTTGCTTTGCAACATTGGGGTCGATTTATATGAGGGGAAAGAACAGTCAGTTCAGGCCTCTCGACTTAGCAAATCCGGTCATCCAGAATTTCAAGCGTTTGTTGTTTCTTTGTGAGTAACTCCTGTCACTTCAAAGGGGCCATTAGTTGTTGGTTTGCAGATGGTGATAACAAAAAAAAAGAAGTTCTGCTGAATTGTAATTTTGCTGCCTGCTGACAGATATCACCAGAGTGAGAACAGTCCAGAGCAAAGTGGGTGCTATCGTCATTGTGTTGATGAGAACATTGAAAGGAGAAACCACTATTTGGATCTTGCAGGAATAGAAAACTACACATCAAAGTTTGGGCCAGGTAATTTGGTAATTTATGTTGCAACCTTTTTGTCTTTTCTTTCTTCAGTTGCATGTTCCACATCAGGGGCAGTGAATTGTGAACCTGTGTGATTTGTCTGTAGTGACTTACTGGAAGGAATAGGACTGTGTGAATGCTGCAAGATAATTACTGGTGAAGGTGGTATCACAACGGAGTGGCTAATGTACTGCAAGCCTGCTTTGAAATATTTGTTTGTGTAGCTAAACTTGGAGGTGAGCCTAGGAGAACAATCTTTACATCTAAATTATTAAGTTTAGTCTGCAGGTGAGGCGAGGACTGATTTTTGGATGTTGGAGCTCGTTCCCAAGATGATACCAGCACATATTTTGTACTCACTACTGACCCAAAAATAGGAGAATGTGGGTTCATACCTGGAATTTTGGCTTCTGTCCCCAGATTAAAGGGATTTGGATTTCCTCCCTTTCCCTGTCCTCTGCCAAGATTTTACTATTCCGCTCACAGTTATTTTGGTGAATTTCAGATAGATGATGACCAAGAGAAGGTAATGTAAAGGCTTTTATACACACACACACACACACACACACTCTCTCTCTCACTCTTGTATAGATATGTACGTATATTTGTGTGTGTGTTATTTACTAGTCAGAATTATTAAATGTAATTAAACTAGACAACTATAATTGCATTCACTTCCTTAGGAAAAATTCACTCTACCGATAATGCTATCCCTGCCAACTGCATGCTACTAAGTAAAACTTTGAAATACTAGATGACTAACTCAGCTTGTTATTTCCTAGGATCTCCTCCAGCAGCTCAAAAACGTGACCCACCAAGCAGAGTTGTGAATCAGACTAGATCCCGTTCTCATGAACCTGAAACCTTCCATGCTCACCATAGGAAATCTCAAGTGGTGGATCCAAGCCACATCAATCTGGCTGAAAGTTCATATGCCAAGATTGCAGAAATCCAGCAGAGGCTCCGGAACCAGGACTCAAACAAGCACTTTGTGAGGTCTCCCAAGGCCCAGGGCAAAAATGTTGCCCCTGTGCATCCTGGAAGGGCGATTAGAAATAAACCTTTTCAAGGGGTGCCCATGCCAATGGCTTCCCCAAGTGCACGAGTGGGCCAGAATCTTCCTTACCTCCCCTTGCAATCTCAACAGGTTCACAAGAAGCATAAGCAGAGGGCAAAGGAGAATCACCAAATGTGCAAAACCTTCCAGTCTCCAGGGACAGTTGTGGAAAAGGAACATGTGAGAGACCTGCCAACAGTTATTTTATATGAAGGCCAAGTTGGACAAATGATACAAAGACATGAACACCACCACCACCATGAGCACCACCACCACTACCATCACTTCTACCAGACATAGAAGAGATCCCACCAACATCCTCCAAGAATCATCCCATATGAAGGAAATGCGTTCTTGTGATACCAGAACTAAGGCATTACTATGATTAATATTACTGTTACTCCATTAATATTCATCTAGCGTATATTTTAGAAGTTATATGGAACTCTTGAAACTTACCCTATTTATAAGTTGTGGAACTGCATAGCTTACTTAAACACCTTGTGGATTTTTTTTTTTTTAAAGTGGCTTGTAAAACAGCAAACAGCCATAGCTTTTTGAGCTGTGATTTAATACAGGTCGTCAACGCACTTCTTTACAAGTACTACTTCCATTGTAGTAGGAAAGATACTTCAAACATTATTGCAGACATCTAGCTTACCACTCTGCTGTATGTCGGCTGATCGCACACGAGCCTTTTATCAGGGGAGCAATGTTCGAAGGGTTGGACTCCAGAGATACTCAGAATAATGGAAAATACAAACAGCTGCTACCTCTAGTATTATTCAGATTTTATTTTCTTTTTATTGATTGTAATGTTCTACGGGGGGGGGGGGTGTTAATATACTGCATTCATGTAGCCTGTTTGTGTTCACATCCTTTCAAATTATCTTAATAATTACAAGGAAATATTAGCTATACTTGTCAACAGAGCTACATTTGTATGACTTACACATTATTTTCTTGGCAGTTCTTCACTGACACAAGTACAGTCTGTTATATACTGGGTAATATTTAAATATACTTCTTTTATTTTTGGTTTTTCTCTTGCTTACTCTCCATTCTGTTTGGGGTAACCATTTGAAAAGAGGAGGATGTGAAATGGGGTTTTCAAAAGCATCACTAGACTTTAGCGCTTGGGCCATAAGTATCATTCATGGGTGTTTGAGAAGGAGAGGGGTTGTTTGGGGGGTTTGTTTTGTTTAAATCCACAGTTCTTTGTTTTGAGAAAGAATTGAGGAAAATATACTTTCTCACTTTAAATGTTGGCAAATATATATAAAATATAAATATAAATATAAATATATATAAATATGCACACTCTCAGGTACATTTTGTTGTGTTTTAGAAATCTGTGGTTTGAATATTAACATTATAATTTTTTTTTTCCACAACAGTGACTTTTTAGAAACATATGCCATGGCATTTTCTTAGGTGTCTCCAATTTAAATTTCCCCAGCACCTACCAATTTGTGATTCTCCCATTTTAGAGTCAATTCAACATGTAAAAAAATATCATTCACAATCATTCTGGCCTCTTCTACTTTTTCTGTATCAAAGGGCTTCCATTCCATGAAGGAGAATGAGACCATACTCACAAGACCTTACTGGCTGCTGAGAAATTTGAAGGTCAAAAGCAAATTGGAAGAGTGAAAAAAAGGGCCAGTACACTCAAGTTTTACTTTCTGTGGGGCCCAGATGTATAATACATTCAGTTGGGTTGTGTACAGATCACCATTTTGCAGGCAGAAAGTGACTGAAAAACACCTCTGTTGCTTTTGGAACATTAAAGTAGAAAACTCCTCACATAAACCCATAATTGTTCTATAAACATACTTGCTTTTGGTTTTAATTATTTTAAATGTTGTGGTATTTTGTCTGTAGTATATATTGTAAAATGTAACTATCCCACATTGTTATAAGCCCTTTATGATTAGGGTATTTTTTTTTCACTAGAGATTTGATCAGTCCAAAATGGGGTATTACGTTACTGCTGACCAGTTTTAGAGGGATGTTGTCCTTTCTAAGAACATGGAGACATCAACTTTTAAAGAAAAGTGGAAAGCCTTGCCTTCTTGTGGAATTGGAATAGAATCACTGCTTCATGGTAATTAGGTCCATCTCTTGTCTCCCTGGATCAGCAGTTGTTTAGACTTACTGTCCTCTTTAAAAAATCTGGTTTATTTTATTTTATTTTTTTTAGCTGTCAACATCGTGTTCTGTTAAATCTAACAAAATGTTTTTAAAATGTGTTTGATCTGTGTGACAACTATACTGTTCTGTTTATTTTTAAAATTCCTAAAGTCCAAAAATATTTATATGCAGAATTTTCTGTATTGAAAATATGAAAAGGCCACAAATTTGGTTAGTTACCACTGAGTTGTTCTAGTCTAAGCCTTTTTTGCTGCTTGTGTATCATTCTTTTTCAATGTATATATAATTATGGACTGCAAAGAAAAAAGGCATTTATATGTCTAGTAGAAGGAATAAGCTTATTTATATTATAGTGTTAACAAAGTCTGATGTATTCAAGTGACTTATGTTATCCCGCATGCAAACACACAAGTGTACATTCCATCTAAGAAGGGATGCCATGCTATTTGTTTTGAAGATGTAATTAAAGCTGTTCTCTTTTCAGCAGAGCATATGCCAGCAAGACTGGGAGGTGGGAATTGTTTCTTAGTCAATTTTTTTAATGCAGCTTGTTGCTGAAAACCAGAAAAAGTTCTGGAAAACTAGAGTGCTTTCAGAACTGTGGGTTTTTCTAAGAAAGGGCAGCAAATGGGCATAAATGCTCTTTCACCCAAAGATATTTTGCTGGAAAAGAGGACAGCACCAATAACAAAATCCCATCTGACTGAAAAGTGTGCAGTACTAGCTGTGCCAAGTGAACTCTGAAATGTAACACAACTGACCATTGGTTACAGCCTTGCATTGATTTGTTTTGGCTTATTATATTTGGAGATTCAAAAGACAAATTCTACCTTGCTCAGATTCTGTGAAATACAAATACATTTTAATAATGTGGCATCCCCATACTAAAACTTTACACCAGCCATGTATGAACATACAGTATCTAAATACTGTGTTGCAGTTGTGTTACGTGCATTAAGTGTGAATAACATGTAGCACAGTTTCTTTTCTCAGAACCTTAAATTTCCATATCTTTTAAAAATGTTTGCTTTTCAGTATTTTGTATAGTAAATATAGATGGTTTTGACTAAATGCTTTATTTATTTAACAGCAAAAACTGTGCCAAGAGAACCCCCTGTTAATTAAAGTTTTACTAGTTCAGAGAGTATATTTCCTTCTTCTTGTTGTGGATTTCAGGGGCTTATTGCAATTGCTGTCAGTGCTTGCAGATCCCACTGATGAAAGAGCTTGCATTAACATTTTTGGGAACAGGATCGGGCCATAAGGTATGGACTGAGTATGCTTTCGTTTTATATTTAAACTATCAAGTTTCAAAGTTAAATTTCTTATCCCTTACTGTTAGACCTGTGTTGAGTAACTGATTTTTCAGCTTGTTACTAATTCTGAAAACCTTTGAAAGTGTATATATATGTATATTAAAATACATATATATATAATTTTAAGTTGCTCAAAACTGTGGCTGAATCAAAACTTAAAATAGATTAGTTTCTGGTTAAACAAAACATTTCATTTCCAAGAAAAAAAAATTCAGTTGAGTGTATTATTACTATTTAAAAGTAAAATGGAGTGGCATGACGTCATTTCAAATGAAAACTCCAGCCTTTTCACTTACTTTTTCTGTTTTTACAGAAAGCAATTCAGCAAAACTAAGCCGATGCCAAAATTTGCACTATTTGCTGAAAAAATTTCAACCGAAAAATTTTGCTTACCTCTACCAGCTGCAATTTTTGGGAAGCCAGGTTTTTGAAAAGAAGGATTGCTAAGCTCTTCTCACGACTTCATAACCACCTAATACAAAGTAAACTAAGCTAAGGATAGTGAAGTAAAATCTCTGTCCTGGTGAAATCACTGGCAAGACTGCCAGATTCCCACTGCCTTCAGGGTGCCTATAATTTCATTGCAGGAATGTGGGTTTGAAGTCTACATAATGTGCAGACAGTGATTTCGGTATTTATTTTTTATGCATCTTACTGCTGATGGTTTTGTAGTAGCTAATATTAAATGGAAGTTTTACTGTAAGAGATCAAGCCAGTAAATTAATTAAGATTAGCAGCAAATACTGTGCTTTATACTCATGTCATTGGAGGACCTCAAGGCACTTCCAAATGTCTTTGAAACATCCACACATCATTTAGTCACTGTTAGAAATTAAGACCCAATTCTGCCCTTGGATGATGAAGTACAGGTTCACCTGGCATATTGGCAGACCAGCCCCTTAAGGCCATACCAAATTAAAAAGCCACATATATATTCTAGTCATCATGAGCACAGAACAGCAAAGTATAGCTGGAGAAGTACCTTAAAGGTGTATATGTGTGTGTGTGTTTATATATATATGTGTGTGCATGTACATATATATATATATATATATACGTGTCCTCTGACTGAAGTTAGTGAATAGCACAAGATGGATTCTGACAGGTGATCTTTTATAAAGGGATAAGTACTCTGTATGCTCAACAGTCTACAAGTTGCCACATAAAGATACAGATACGATGGATGCTTACTGTTCTCCATGTGTCATTAGGTACCTCAATTATTGAATGACAGATTTCATTTGTATTCCAATTAACAGGAAAGTTAGGCCCCTTGGGGCCTAGATTATACTGAGAAAAATTCATCATGCTAGAAAATTTGCAAAAACACTCACCATAATTTTGCCTGGAGTACAGGCAAGAACGTTCATGTTTGGAAACGAGTCAGCTAATCAAGTCTCACCTTTAATTACCTTGATGCAATTCATCAAGATCTGAAAATATGTTTTCGAACATGACTTATTCATGGTTTTGCTGGGAACCAAGTCATATTCAGCATCCTGTTAGTTGTCAGACTTCTTTTTTTTTAAATGTACCAAGCAGAAACATGTTTGAAAATCCATGAAATAAAAATTGAACTTAATGTGTTTTCTAAGTAGCTCCTGGAAGAAAATTTCTCTTCTTTTGTAATGAACTTAGCAGCAAAACCAGCCTCAATTTATCACATAATGATTTATTTTCTTTGCATATTTGACAGCTGTTCAGTTGATTTTATTTGGAAGGGGCTGTTTTGGGATTTTTTTGGCTTGTGTACATTTAAAGTGTGCTCAAAATGGGCTAAAAGGAACCAACGTAGAAAAGCAAATAACTTTATACTGAAATTATTCAGTA